TCAGGAAGGGGGGGCACTAGGTTAGTGCTGAGATAATGGGTCTGGACAGAACAGCCCCCCCTGCTGGTTACCTTGGTAAGGATGCTAGTCACGGGGCATCCTTATGGGGTTACTGGTTGGCCCTTTACAGCCCTAGATCCTTGCCCCTTTAGCACGTCGTGGGCCTCCTGTGTGCGACTTCAACTTTATCCTCTCCCCCCCGCATAGGTCGTTTCCCAGCAGCTGGTTCGTCTCTTTCACGCTGGCCTCCGCGCCTTGGCGGCGGATAAGGAGCTGCTGGTGACACTAAGGAAGAAAACCGGTTATTCCTTCCTGAATTGCAAGAAAGCCTTAGAGAAGTTCAGGGGCAACCCCAAGCAGGTGAGAGCTACTGGAATGTCACCCTGACGGTGGAGTGAATTTCAGTGGGGGTTTGGGTGCCGAATGCCTGTGGGCTCCTTTCAAAACGTCAGCGTGAATGAGTTGAGATTGGAGCTCCTTCTCTTAGGAAGAAGGGACTGCATTCAGGTGTAGAAAACAAAAGGAAGGATATAGTTAAAACTGAATGGTTTATCTTACCTCCGTCCATATTAACGGAGATGGGGCATAGATACCAAGGCAATAGGTCTAATTATGTATCATAGTAATTATGTTGAGTGTTCTCCTAGCCTAGAGGAACTGATCATCAGAGGCTTAATTTTTAAAAAGGGCTAGATGGTGTTATGATCTCTATAGCTGTGCATGCTGACACTGAAAGACGCATGGGAGATTTGACTTCTTGCTTTCGAGGCATAAGTAGCTCAGCAGCAGCAGGTCAGAAAGAAAACATCTCTTGTACATACAAGATAATGTACAATGCTTGAAAATCCACCCTAGCCCCATTGCTAAACTCTTCCATGTCATCTTCACCCCCAAGAACATCACATTTAACCACAAACATTTTGTCCAAACAGGGTAACTGTGTAGCTCCCCATGATCCTTCATGGACCACGTTAAGGAAAAAATTCTGAAACAATGCAACATAGTTTTTTGCCTGACGTATTTCAATGATATTTTCATTCTTTGGGTAAAAGATCTAAATTCCCTCAATTTCCTCAACCACCACCCATCCGTGAAAGTCTCTTTAGAACATCCTCACACCGACATCAGCTTCCTGGACACAATGAGCTTCAACATTGGAACCCTACGAACAAGAAGCCATTGATTACCACACTTAACTCCAGCAATCGAAAGCAATCCAGAGACACCAAAAAATCTGTTAATTACAGCCAGGCATTCAGCTACCCTGGAATTTGCTCCAAAGAGCAAGTCTGGGAAATACACATACTTAGTTGTCTTTGCTAACAAGGAGGCTACGTCTAGACTGGCATGATTTTCCGGAAATGCTTTTAACGGAAAAGTTTTCCGTTAAAAGCATTTTCGGAAAAGAGCGTCTAGGTTGGCACAGATGCTTTTCCGCAAAAGCACTTTTTGCGGAAAAGCGTCCGTGCCAATCTAGACGCACTTTTCCGCAAAAAAGCACCGATCGCCATTTTCACGACCGGGGTTCTTTTGCGAAAAACAAATCTGAGCTGTCTACATTGGCCCTTTTGCGCAAAAGGACTTTTGCCCGAACGGGAGCAGCATAGTATTTCCGCTTAAAACACTGATTTCTTACAGTAGGAAGTCAGTGCTTTTGCAGAAATTCAAGCGGCCAGTGTAGACAGCTGGCAAGTTTTTCTGCAAAAGCAACTGCTTTTGAGGAAAAACTGGCCAGTCTAGACACAGCCGGACACTCTGCCGGCAACGTAGATCATTTGCCACCCAAATACCTGCGAGAACCTATGTCCATACAAGAAAAAGAAACCCACTGGCCACACACCCGTAGTTGTCACCTACCGCCCCACACCGGACCCCTAAAAAGTATAATCAAACAAATATCACCCATACATGATGAAGACCACATCTTGAGAGAAATTTCCTGATCTCTGCCTTCTGGCCTTCAGACAACTCCAACCTCGCAAAACTCATAATCAGAAGCAGGCTTCCCACAGATCAGGATGCACCAGCTCAAAGCAGCACCAGCCTTGCCAGAGCAGATGTGAAACTTGTAGACACATCTCTACTGCTACAAGGATCAAGGATCAACTCCCCCAACATACCTTTCAAGTTTCATAGGTCCTAGCCTGCTGCAACATGTGCTGTACCTCAGCCAGTGCATCAAATATCCCACTAGCAATTATATGGGTGAAAGCAATTACTCAGCTCTTGAATGAACTCGCCCGGAAAAATGGTGAAAGACAAAAGCGCCATAGCACCTGTGGGTGAATACGTTTCAAAGCAATCATAGCCAGTCCCCAAGTTGCAAACGGTCGACTTACGACCGTTCGCAGTTACAACCAAAACTGTCGTAAATGGCGGACCCCGAGTTACGAATGCGATCCGCGCTTACGAACAGCGTGGTCGCGTGTAACTCTGTGGGGTCTGACTTACGAACAAACCGAGTTATGACCAATTGCTTGGTCCGTAACCGGTTCGTAAGTTGGAGAGAGGCTGTATTCCATATCTGATCTTTCATTGCTGTCCTCAAGAGCAAACTGCGCAACACCTTCAAAAGACAAGACTGGGAACTTAAGTTCATAACTCTGCTTGCAACCCAAAGCCGTGGACTTAGCAGGAAAGCGTGTTTTGTGGGTCATTACAACAATTTGTAACACACCTCACTGCTGGCTACCCCTCAATTGCCCACCTCAAATTCTTGACGCATACGAATCTAACCCCCGGTTACTCCATTTCAAGTGACCACATCCAACATGCATGACTCCTGCATAACAATCTATCCCAACTTGTATTTAGCTCAAACGCTCTGCTTTCTTCCCCAGACGGAAAGAGCAGCTCTGTGTGGCTCAAGAGTTTGTACCTTTCATCAACAAAAACTGGCCCAATAAAATATACTACTTTGCCTATCTTGTCTTTCCTATTCTGGGACCAGTGTGGCTCCAGCAGCCCTACAGATCGTCATCCCAAATGTGGCTGCACCGCATGGTTGGTCAGTGTCATTATGTTGGTGTCAGTTTCTTGGGTTTTTTGGAACCTTGTTGGGATATGATCTGACCGTTGTGGTCTTTCCCATGAGGTTGCTGTTTCCCACTGAGTGTTACAAAACTTAGGTGAGGCTTTTATTTGGCTCATCTTCATGGTTTTGTCTTCAAAGGCAGAAGCCTGGCTGCACGAGCAGGCCCAGAAGGAGGGATGGAGCAAAGCTTCCAAACTGCAAGACAGGAAGACAAAAGAGGGCCTTATTGGGCTGCTGCAGGAGGGGAACACAGCGGTGATGGTGGAGGTAAACTCCTCTGTGTGCCTGTGTGAGATGCTTTCGCTTGGCTCGTGGGAGGGAGGGATTTGTATTAACCTACTAGCTTCCTGATCCCTTGAGCCGGCCTGTGTGCTTACGTTCAAACTTGCAGCTGGGAGTTGAAACTATCACAGACAAATTTGTCTAGTCAAATCATGGCCCGTGTGATATAGATGACAGGAAATGGATTCCTTTTAACAGCAGAAAGGGGAACAAACCCTAAAGGGAATAGTCCTAGCCACAGGCTTTTCCTGTTCTGAAAAACTGGGGGGGCTAATTTTTGTCTTGTCGAGTTGCTGACATCCCTGGCGACAGCTCTGACTGGCATAACGCCCATCCTAAAAGCGGCAGGGCAGGTCTCAGACCACGACTTCGGAACAATCCGCTGTTTCTCTGCACCAGGTGAACTGTGAGACCGACTTTGTGGCCCGAAATGTCAAGTTTCAACAGTTGGTTCAAGAAGCAGCAACTGGGACAATGTTCCACCATCAAGGTGTTAAGAACCAGCTAACCACGTATGTCAAGGTGAGAGAGACCTGTCTAAGGTACTTATAAGCCTCCTGCATCTGCCCCCCTCTATCTTTTATAGGTGCTTTCCCTCCCATAATGTCATGGAACCCCAGACATGTTGGCCTTTTCTATGCACCATGGCCAATATAGCTATTCCAGCAGCGCCCCCTAGTGGAGACGCACCATAAGCTGACAAAAGCACTTTAGTAGCACAGTTGTGTATTTACGCCAGTGGCTTTGATGTTACAACTGTGTTGTCTAGGCGGTGTGTTCTCCCCCCCCCTACGTTCACCCTTAACCAACGTAGCCATGTCAGCAAAAGTTTGAACGTCGCCTGAGGACTAGTGTACACTAGAAAATTACAACAAATGGCCTGGTAGCACTTTATAGACTAACAAAACATGTAGATGGGATCATGATCTTTTGTGGGCACAGCCCATTTCTTCAGACGACCGGAGTTAAGAGTAGGGGATTTGAAAACTCGAAATAAATAGGAGAAGGGAAAGCGGGGAGGTGGGAGGAGAGAATGATGCTCTGTCTCCCACCCCCCTTCCTGTTTTTTCTTTAAATATCTGGCGAATGGGTGCTAAATCTAAGCAGATAAAGATCAAAGTCAATAGATAGATTGCTAAGACAGTCTGTCTATTAACTCTGGCTGTGCTGTGTGGGGCCACGCCGAGTGCGGCATCTATCGGAGGTGACCAGTGGGGGCTGGCACGCTTCTCGACTCCCGTGGCTTGCGGCATTATCGCTTCTCTTGTCTCTTTCAGCATTTCCTGAAGGCAGCGGAGCTTTCTCAGCTCCGGACGGGGCCTGCTGGATCTCTGCTCAGTGACCAGCTAGCTCTAGCTATAGGTGAGTGTCTGGTACCGGATGCTGGTTAGAAGATAGAAATTGGGAGGGGAGGGGGATTGTGTGGCTTCCACCAGCCTTGAGTTGGGCTGACTGAGAAACTCCTTTCTCTGGGAAGATTCCAGCTGTCATCTCGCGTCCTGAGGGCATAAGTCGTGTCTGTTTCCAGCCTCAAGGAAACTGCTTGTGCCGGGGGCTTAACTTGGGGACCATGAAATCTGAGTTCCGTGCACTGCCCTGTAACCCCCGCAGGGATGCGGCGCTGGTACTTCGGTGAAGTATTTCACAGGGCATTTTCTGATGCCGGGCATCCTCTTAGCAGTGCAGCATGTTGTAGGGATGGCAGTGGTCAACTGGTAAGCATCACCCTTAGTGAGTGATGCTTACTGGATATGGTTAACCAGGGGCCCGGCCTGGTGCGGCATCCCACCAAACTGCGGGGGTGGGGGGGGACTGCAGCCTGGCCAGAGAAGCCTCTGTCCATGGTGACAGGGATGGGGTGGGGCAGATCCAGCGGGAGCAGCCCTCAACTCACCTCCATGTAAGCGGTTAACTGAGTAAGCCCAACGTTTAACCCAGGGGTTCTCAAAGTTTGTGATACCGCGACCCCCCTCGAAGTTGCTCATGACCCCCTGGGGGTTGGGACCTACAGTTTGAGAAACGTGGGTTTAACCGGACAACTGATTAAACTGGATTTTGCAGCCACTTAACGTTTTCACTAAGCAGGGAGCTAACCAGGCTGTTTTACGGGGAGGGGTTTTCTGTTCCACATCGGGGCGGGGTTCGACTGCCATGGGGCCAGGTCTACGGCCTGTATTGAGACAACTCTCCACCCTTACAGTCCTCGAGCAGCAAAATTGCCAAGGAAACTGACATCTGATGGGTGGGGGGAGGGGCCGAGTGCCACGGCGAACGCGACGCCTGCTCTGGATCTTCGAAGGGAAATAAGACCCGTCCTTGTTTTGGCTTTTTTAAAGGCAAACTAGGCGAGAACATGGCTCTAAAGCGGGCTGCCTGGGTGGCCGTGCCAGCTAATTACTACATCGGCTCTTACGTCCACGGGGCGCTGCCGGTGGATAATCCTGCCCTCGCTAACATGGCGCTTGGCAAATACGGCGCCTTAGTGATTTGCCAAGCGTCGGAGCAGAGCGCCAAGTCCAACCTCGCCGATCTGGGCCGGAGGCTGGGCCAGCACGTTGTAGGGATGGCCCCTCTCTCGGTGGGATCTCTGGAGGATGAGCCCGGCGGAGACACGGAGACCAAAATGCTCGCCCAGCCTTTCCTGCTGGACCCCAGCCCCACCCTGGGCCAGTACGTGCAGCCCCAGGGCGTGGCGGTGGTGGACTTTGTGCGCTTCGAGTGCGGCGAGGACACAGAGGTACCAGAAGTGGAGCTGATGCAGCAGCGGGAAGGGCACTAAACTCCCGGCTGCGGCTGTGGGCTGGATGTTTCGCATATTGGATCAATGTGGAAATAATGAGGAGTCGGGATCAGCGGTGAATTAATTGCTCACGTGCTGGACATTTAACACGGGGGCCTCGTTTGTGCAGAGCATTAAAAGACTGGTCGCTGTGTGGTACTATGCAGCCTCTGGCCCCGAGCAACCAGCTCCCATCTGTGGGCGTTTTGTGTAACGTGGGTCGGCCTGTTTGCTTCGAGGGCAGGGGCAGGGCTGAGCTGGGTGCGGGGCGGGGAGCCGGTCGGCCTGTTTGCTTCGAGGGCAGGGGCAGGGCTGAGCTGGGTGCGGGGCGACGAGCCGAGCGCCGTGCGCAGCCAGCTGTGATCGACACGCTGTGGGGCAGGGGAGAGACCCTCGCGCATTCAGACGTGTAGAGCAGGGTGGGCAAAATATGGCCCGGGGGCTGGTTCCAGAACGTCAAGTGTTTTCCTCCCCCTCGCCAGGACTTCCTGAGCTGGGGCTGGAGGAAAAGGCCCCATAGCCCCGTGGGGCACTCAGGTGGCCTCAGCCACGCTGCTCTTGGAAGTGCCACGGCGGGAGGCTGTTGGCAAATGTGTCCGCGTGCAGCCTGTGGGGCGAGGGGGCAGCAGGTCTCAGTGGGCTGTTCCGGCCCCCCTATTCCATCGCATAGCTCCCATTGGCCAGAAACCAGCCAATAGGAGCTGCAGGGGCGGTACTTGCCGGCCTGGGCAGCGCACAGAGGCCCACAGCCTCTGGCAGCTTGGAGCAGTGTGGGGCCAGCATGACAGGCAGGCAGCCTGAGCGCCCCCTGCTGCTGCAGGCCGGCAGGGCCAGGGCCAGAGCCTGCACCTCAGCGCCAACTCCGTCCCAGACTCCATGCCCCTCCTGTGCCCCACTCTTCTACCCAGAGCCCCCTCCAGCACCCAAGCTCCAGCCCCGACCCCTCCTGCACCCAAGCTCCGGCCCAGACCCCACGCTTCCTCCGTTAATGTAACAGAAAAGTTGGGCCCGTGATCACTGACCAAGGTTCTTGGAGTGGCTCCCCCCGAAAAAGTTACCGCCCCACGAGGGATGTACAATCCCATTTAATGGGTTAACCGATTAAAGGGGGAGGCTGGCGGCAGGTTCTGCCATCCCCCCATGGGGCTGCCGGCTCCCTGGCCCCTTGTCC